CTGAATCAGTTGGTGAAGTTCTACTTTACACGCAATTAGACCTTTACGCGCAGTTAGACCTTGACTTGCATTAACACTTTAGAGCCTGATTAAAAAATTGACTAGATTGGAAAAGCGCAGGTACGTTTGCATCGAGGTGGGGGGTGTCTTCATTGGCCGAAGACCCCCCACCTGGCTCCGGCCCGCTGCAAATCTCATACACTCCACCGAAAGTGAATTATTCTGTGCAAACTCCTTAGGAACAGGTGTGGACACACACAGAATGCCGATATCGGCGCTCAAAAGATTTACTAGCCACCTAACAAGCCTTAGAAAGAAAGGAAAGGAAAAGACAGAAAGAGCAAACGAAGAGGGCAAGAGAGAAAGATAGCAAAGATCGGAGTAGTTACGAGGCCCACTAGTTAGGAAGCCTTCTAGTTACTGACTACTTAGCCGAATGAATTAGGTGCAAAAGTTAGGGAGCGGGACTTTAGTCATAGACCGCCCGGGTAGGAAAGACTAGGACAGGAGAAACAGAAGGACAGGCACCAACACACAAGTGTGTTGAGTGCGACTTCCTCCTGTTACCCTAATTAGAGGGTGGGATAAGAAGTGTGAATTCTCGTGCAAGGAGGGGGGGGTGGCCCTAAGGCACTGCCGTAACCAGCGCTCCCTTGACTAAAAGGCACCTAAAACCTAAAGAAAGGCCTCAAGAAAACGGAAAGCAACAGCAGGAGAGAAGAAACAACGAACCAAAAGAGATTACTTAGTTGCTTGCCTATTGGTCCTCTGCTCACGTTTCTCACTCTGACTCTCCTCACGCTCCGCCGTAAACGGGGCTCCCTTGACTAAAGCTTCACCTGAAGCCTAAAAGCCTCAAGCAAAATCTTTGGAAGTCGTTAGACGCGTCTGAGTCTGTTTCGTCTAATGCGTCGCACATGCGCGCGCAAAGATATTCAGTGAGACCTGCGGCACTCGATCTCAGTAAGCCCTGCGGCATTCGATCAGCAATCTCAGGCAAAACGAAACGAGCCTGTGGTATTCTGAAAGAAGGTCACAAGAGAGAGGAAGATGGAAATCAGTGGGAGTCCCCCAGAAGTGGGTCTGTGCACACGCTGCGCTTCTCGGTGGGGATCACACCACAGCCCTCGGTGGGACTCTGTGGCGACACACACTTACATTGATGCTCGCAAGAGCTGAATCAGTTGTGAAGTTCCACTTTACACGCAATTAGACCTTTACACGCAGTTAGACCTTGACTTGCATCAGCACTTTACAAGAGCTGAATCAGTTGGTGAAGTTCTACTTTACACGCAATTAGACCTTTACGCGCAGTTAGACCTTGACTTGCATTAACACTTTAGAGCCTGATTAAAAAATTGACTAGATTGGAAAAGCGCAGGTACGTTTGCATCGAGGTGGGGGGTGTCTTCATTGGCCGGAGACCCCCCACCTGGCTCCGGCCACCTGCAAATATCATAAACTCCACCGAAAGTGAATTATTCTGTGCAAACTCCTTAGGAACAGGTGTGGACACACGCACACACTCTTTCTTGAGAGATGCTCATGTGAGCGACATTCAAAGTGGTTGTTAGTGAGCGTTAGCACTTTACTTTCTAGTTACTGCAATACCAGATTAAAGCGCTCAAAGGCCTGACACCTTCGAAATGGCCCTGTGAAGAACGGCAAGGCGAAAAGTCCACCAAACAGATCGAAGCCGTATTGTTTAAATCAGCAGAGCAGTGATTGGAAAAAACAGGTACGTCACGGTGATCAGCCGTGATATCCTAGTCTGCTGCATGGAGCTTTGCTGGCGACGGCCATGCAGCGAATCTGTTGCTCTGCTGATGCATTGAAGTAGTTGGAATGGGTGTCAATAGTAGGGTACGGTCCCTGGAAACGGGTAGCTCACACGCACCCGCGAAAAGAGTTTTCCAAGCTCTCCAGGTCCATGACTGGGATGCTGGCCATGTGCTGTGGCGGCTTTTTCGAAGCCGCTGGACCTGGAAAGGGCCGCGTGGAGGGCACGCCAGGGACAAATCCGTTCCCAGGGGGGTGAAAAAAACGGTCTCAACGACCGAGATCGGGATAACCATTATACACACAGATATATACATATATATATATATATATGTTGCATTGCTCGTTTGTTGTGGAGCAGGGAAGCAATGGGTTCTACTCTTATGTGTCCTTTTGTGGTTTGGCTGAGCTGCTGGGGTCTCACTTTTGTAACTTAGAGCACGCACCCATATTCAGAGTGCACCAATGTGCACCATAGGTATCCCATATAGCGCCTTGGGGGCCCAAACCCGATATTTTCGCATCAGGTCTTCAAGGATGTGTTCTCCACCGCCAGGGAAACCAAGTCATCGCCTCAGGGCCTCAGAGTTGAGTTGGTGATATTCGTTCAGCTCGAGATGTAAATCCAAGATCGTGAAGGAAAGTTTTCTGAGATCACAAAGAAGGTGAACAATGTATTTGAAAACTAATTAGTGTCACGATGTCCAATGTCTCGCTTGGGTGCATCTAAACTATCCAGCCCTTTCGCAGTCTTGAGCATCCTTAGGGCTGAATTTGTAGCAAAAATGTTGTCAAAGCAGTTGCCTTGTCAAAACAGGTTTGTTCTTTTTAGTGACCGGACATGTTTTGCCGCAGCCATTTTGGTAAAGGAAGACCCGCAGTGTGCAACCCGTGTTTGAGCCTGAGCTTTTCACTCATCCTCAGGACCATGGCATTCCTGAAGTCTCTCACACTCCTCGCGCAGTTTGGCATGGCTGTGTCTTTGGCACCAGGAGATTGTGCCTTCGTGGGCATCTATGGTGAGAAGGATGACTTCGCCATCCTCTTGATGGAGGACGCCGATGGAGAGAAGATCACCCTGACGGACGGAAGCTTCAAGAACAAGGACTTTCAGTCCAGCCAGCGTGCTCAAGCCAAGGAGCACGTGAAAGAGGCGGCCAAGGGCACGGTCCTGAGGAAGTGGGATTTCCAGACGGAGGACGGTTGGTCTTTCGCTGCTCCTTTGGCTTTGACCATCTACAAGGGAAGCGCATCATCTCCTACCCCATTGTGTGGCGTCAACTTGGATGGGAAGGCAGGCAACGTGATGGTTCGCAGGCTGAATGATGAGGTGGCCGCCCTGAATTTGGGTGAGACCGAGACTGCTCAATATGCTGGACCCATGATTGGCAGCAAGGAAGAGCTTTTCGATGGCATCAGCAACCCCATGAACTGGCTGCGAGATGCGGGAGCTGTGCGCAAACTCTCGGGCTTCAGCATCGCCATGGGCTCGAACAGCACCACCAGCATGACCTCAAGCACCATGGGGAACACCACTGAGACGACCTCGACCACTTCCACAATTGATTCCGGGGAGGCCGATGGCGCTGTGCATGCTGCCGCAGCTGCGGGCTTGATCCTTTCATTGGCTTGGATCATGTGAGAAACATGAGATCATGAGACGAAGCCTCAATGCCAGACAGCAGATTTCAGGATGGGACCCTCTTCATATTCCCACACTTTCATGGGGAAGTTGTTCCATGTTGCCCAAAAAACAAGACTCGTCTGGCCATTGGAGTGGCTCGCGGGTAGCCTGGAAGCCTGCAGTAGTTCAGTCTTCTTGGCACCCTCGCATCACGTTTTCCGCACCACTATGTGACTGCCACGAAGGCAGCCTGCCAGGGTTGTGAAGACGCCCTGAAGCAGAGCAGCCTGCAATCTGAGTTTGAAAATCTGAGACCACCATGGATGTGAAAATGGCTCCGTGGCTCCTTAAAACCAGTCTGTTTGGATTTGGTCTATGTGAGCTTCAGCTCTTTGGAAAGTTGTTGCATGTTGTTGCAGATCCTTCGAGCCAACGAAACTTGGTCCAGATTTGTCCGGAAGTCAGCCGCAGCGACTGGTGTTGGCAACTTCCATGGGCCTCTCTGTCGAGTGAATCGATTTGATGCGTAGAAAACCAGTTTGCAAAAGACTTCTATTCTACTGTGTTTTGTATTGTTTCGAAGTCAGAGTTTTTTGCCATAGATTGGACCCTGGCCCCCTCCCTGCATTCATGCTGTGTTACATGGTGGGGGGAAAGGCTCCAGTCGGACTCCTTTCGACACTATCCAGGCCCAAATACTTTCCTGGAGCAAAAGCCACTCGTGGCCGAACACCCTCCGCACGACGAGAACTGCCGACTCAACGCCTGACTTCGGTGTTTCGGGACCCTCTCTGAGAGAGACCCGGACCGACTCTTGACAGCTTGCCCAGGAGAAAGAAATAGAAAGAATGCGCAGCTGAAATCGAGTGACCGGCAGCCCGCCATCCCCTTCGAACCCGCCGCGCCCGCCCCGTTTTTCGTGCACCGTGTTCTTCTTTTTTTCAGGCCCTACATCAAGGAGCAGTGCGCCACCTGTGGATGGCTGGGAATTATTTTTTTCCGAGTCTACACAGACTGCTGGATTGCACATCAGATGACATCCTGGAAGTCAAAAGACTATATTTTGATATATTTTGCCTCAATAAGTAAAGGAAGTTCAGCCTAAAGTTCCCCTCTAGGGTGTCCGTTGCAGATCAGCATCGAACAAATCAGCTCTGCAAAGGGTCAGTGAAGGAGTTGTCCTCCTGCAAGAGCCACGAAAGACCAGAAATTTCCGAGCTTTCAGGGCGGACTGTGTTCTTTTTGCCTCTTTGCTTTGGCTTCTTCGCTTCGGAATCCGGAGCGGAACAGGTACAAGGGAAGGCAGATCGAATGTGTGCGCTATCGCCCCTTTGAGGAGCGTTTCTGGGGTTTTCCGTCAGTCGTCTCGATGTCGATGATTTTGTTTTCCGTTCGACCGAGGGCAGAGTGAACACCTGCGTGGGACTACCCTCCAACTAAGATCTTTGCCCGGTTGACTTGCATGACCTGCATATAGATGATTTCCAGGTTAAAGCTGAAGTGGAAAAAGAGAGGGTACAAATAGCTGCTAGCTGCTAGAGATCCCTCAAGCGGTTCAAGGACATTCTGAAAGATCTCCGTGTTAGGGCCATCCTGCCATCCCTCATTCCCTCATTCCCACCCAGTGCCAGTGACCATGAGCTCCAGTTGGGGCACCTAACAGAAAGCACGCGGAGAATCGGGTCCGTCCTCATCTCGTCATTCAGTTGTGGGCTTTCCATGCGTCAAGCAAAGGTATGGAGAGCTCGAATGAGCCTTCTTTTCTACCGTCCTCCAGGCTGCCTCCAGGCTCTTCTCATCCCTCGGAGTCGACATCTTTCACAGGTCAGATCCTGCGCTACCACGTTACCATCTGATGCTCTTTGAGACTCTTCAACATGTGCACATGAGCCACAAAGGAGCCACAAGCCCAACCTTTATGACCAGTGAGTGGGGATTTCCTTGGCCGGCAGGACGTGTGCTGTGTGGGGCGCTCGGATGGCTTCGGGAGCCTTGGCTGGATGAAAAACGGGTGCTTTGCACATCTTTGCACATCTTTGCACTGTGAAGACGGAGGGAAGATGGAGGGAATGGAGATGAATGGAACTGAAGGGCTAGGGGATCGTCTTGAATTTGACCCCTCCGCTGCCGCCCGGGCAGCGCTACTGGGCCTGTGTGGCGAACGAAGACCTTCAGAGCTACTGGGTGTTCGTTTCTGAAACAAGATCAGGTGGTTCAGTGGGTCTCGCTAGTGGGTCTCGCTGTTCTCCATAACCCCAGCCTTTTGGCAAGCAAGCTACTCGGCCGCCATATCATATCAAGACGGGGCGCGGCGATGGCAAGGTGAGCCAAGGAGGCCGCCAGAAAGACGCACGACTCCAGTTGAAATTTAAAGGATATAGTAGGATTCTTGTCAGCTTTAGCCCCCCAACCATGTGCGGCTTTGGTGGAACGTCGAGAAAATGGACCAAACAGTTTGGGTGAATCCTTCACACCCGTTGGTTCATGCAAGACCCGTTGGGTTGTTGGCACGCAACTCCTTGGAACACCTCCGTCTTCGTTCGAAACGGGGTCCAGATCCGGTGGCCCTGGGCTTCCCTGGCGCAGAAAGCTGGCTGGGCGCGCCTGGCGCTGTCCACAGCTGTGCAGAAAGCTGGGCTATGGTGTGGTTGTGTGGTTGAAGTTTTTGCCGGAGGCCGACAAGGTGGATGTGCAGGTGAATGTGACAGCGGAAGCAGAGCAAGCCTATGGAACAAAGGTGGTAATGACAAAGCCACGTGCAGCCAAGGGTGTGTTGGGAGGTCATTCGCTGTAGACGGCGTGTGTTTGTTCAAGGTCAGGTTGCCAGGCATGCAGGCTGCCGTGGAGCCATGCAGTGTGACGAATACACCCAGTGGTTGCTGCATCCTTTGACCCCGCGCCAAGTTGACTTCTGAAGTTGTGGCTCTCAAAGCTGCTGGCTGCGCTCCGTCGACTGCGGCCACGATGTAGCCACTGCAACGCCATGCATGCGGACGTGCGGCGCTGCATCGTCGAAATTTATCCTCAGCAAAACGCGGGTGACCTCAGGAAGCACGATAATGCAAACGGCTGCTAGGTGAAGCAAGGAAGACAATTGTCGGGGCAAGGAGCCTGTTGCAAAAATGAAGCCCGCCAAGGAGCCTCCATGGGCATGATGTGGTGGGAAGCTAGGAAGCTACTTTAGTCGAAGCTGCAAAGCGCGCCCAGAGTGACAACCGTGTTTGTTCTAGTCTTTCCTCACATACTGGTAACTTCAAGCTTGAAGGGCTGCCAAAAAGATGAGATCATGCGTGCACATGCGTGCACTCTGTTTGATCATTCATACATGCAGAATTGGATTTCCTTGAGGCACCGCATCACGCTCCAGAGTGCCTGCTTCAAAGAGTTTGCGGTGCCAAAGTGTTCAGGCTGCGCCAGTTGCCCACGTATGAAGAAGTCCCCAAAACTGTGCAGATTTCTTGGGCCGAGTTTCCAGTGCATTGTTGATGTCTTGCTCTGTTGGACTTGGCTGCTCAAGAGGACAAATACTTGGTCGCTGCGACGTGCCCTGGAATATTCTTGGGCGTTAAAATTGGATGGGCGTTACATTTGGAGTTCAGTGCCGATGGCTTGTTGATGAGTGCCAGCACAGCGTGCGGGAGATCACGGCAAAGATGTCACACCTTCAGCTTCCTGGCTGCAGGGGAAGTGCATGGCTGCGTGGCTGGCACGGCTGGCTTCCAACATCTACTTATCTCAAAAGGATGTGGCCTGAGGGATGTTGCAAGTACGGATCTTCCATCATTCCTTCGCCGGACTGGGATGTGGCCTGGGCTTCCAACATCGGCTGGGCGGAGCTCTGGAGATGGGTGGACGAGCTGAGCGCTTCCCGCGCGAACTGAAGAGCCAACGCCACGATGGAGCAAACCGGGCACCATTGGCTCAAAAACTGATTCAGCAGAGCATGAAAAACAGGTGTTTTGAATGAGTGCTGAAGATTGACAGATTACGTGCTGCAGTTGCTGGACTCTCACCTGAAGCTGAAGCGCTCCAAATGTGTGTAAGTCCGCGTGCCAAAGCGCGCAATATTGGAGCCCAGTTGGATGGGTCGGTGCGTGCGTTGAGTTCTTATCGAAGTTCTCTTGCGGGGTGAGGCAAGCGGGCTTGCGAGCAGCTTGCGCCCTCTGGCGGTCAAGCGAGACTTTGGATTTGTCCCAGTGCTTCCGGAACTATTGCTTGTTGCAGCTGCTGTGACGTTGTTGTGGACTATGAAGAAGTTCTCTGCAGTTGCAGCCACTTGCAAAAAAGTACCAAGTGTGAAGCTACGTTGCAAAATGTGGCCAAGCCCTCCACTCTTTTTCATGTAATACACCCGGGAAGATTCAAAAGAAACCTGAAAATGGACATTTGGCAACACTGTTTGAATCATTCTGAGGACCAAAAACCAGATTCATCCCACAGATGTTCACAGCCTGCCTTGGCGTCAGAAGCTCATCTCTGCCCTCCCCAGCTTTTCCACACCGCCCAGACGCACCGGCGAACACGAGCTTCGCATCCGCCCCAGTGAGAGGACCACTCGTGCTCCCAGGAGCCTCGTGGTGCCTGGCGCGGGGAAGGCGAACTTCGACTCTTTTGAGGCGAAAGCGACTCCGAACTCGGTGCCGAACACGGAGGTGGTGCCGAACTGGGCGGTGTTCGGTGCCGAACTGCTTCGCTGCTTCGGCCGAATGAATGGGCGCGCCGGGCACGGGGCCAGGGGTGAGACGAAAGGAAGGTCTCAATCAGAGCTCTGAATCAGGTGGAGGTAATAGCATGTGCTGAATGGCCAGTGTTCCAGGCAGAGGACCCTTTTTCACACCAAGCAGTGACCCAAAGGCTGGTAGGCCAAAAAAAATGACTCGAAGGCAACCGGTGACTCGGCAGCTCCAGTGATACGCGCTGCCTCCCTGCCACATCGCGTCGCGGGGTGTTGGACCCCACAGATGGCCTCTGCGAGGCGAACCCCTTCGAGACCAAATCTCAGCGTCGAGAACGCGAGGCCCGCGGTGCGAGTTGGACTGTGTTGATCTAAAAGGAGTCACTAGAACTGACTGGGGAACTGGGGAACTGGGGAAGAAGAAGAAGAATAATTTCACTAAGAACTGGCGAGTCCTCACAATTGAACTGGCAAATGCGTCACTTCACTTCACTTCTTCAAATGTTGTGAGCGAACAGAAGTCAACTTTCAGACCGTGTGACCGGACTTTCAGACCGTGAGGGTTGGTGATTTCCTGGATGGACACCCGAAGACGTTTGGATCATTTCAAGTCCAGCCCTATGAAAGGCAGGTGAAAAACCATTTCCCCCAAGAGGAAAGGTCAATGAGAGCTTTTTGTTCTTAGATGTTGATCCACATCCATATCGTATATTATGGTTCACTGCCTTTTCTAGACACTGATTTGTAGTGGAAGCCATGAGCCAAGCGTGCTCGCAATTAGGTGCAATCTCTGCTTGAGAAGCTGCAGCCGGACTCCATCATGCGGGTCACTCAAACGCGCCAGTGAAGTGGCTGTCGCCGCGAGAAGGGATCAAGTGAAAGCAGATTGAAGATATTGAAGATGTTCTCAAACCTAACTGACCTCGAGATCAAAGTGATACTTATAGGTTGGTCAAAAGTGTTGGTCTATTCTGCCAGTGAGATTGAAAGTGATAGTGATACTTATAGTAGGTTGGTCAAATGTGTTGGTCAGACAGATCGATCGAAGATCGTGAAAAAAGATCGCTGAAAGCTTAGAGTTCGAACACTTGGGTCAGCTTTGGATCATGTTCCGTTTAGCTTGTTCGGTGGCTGGAAGCTGATCAACTCATGGGTCCAGGTCGGGCGGCAATGCGCTGAACTCGAGCTGGAATTGGCTGAATTTGCAGTGAGATGAGGCTAAACCCCGACGACATTGGTCAAATCGACCGGGAGGTGGTCAAAGCCGGGAGCCTCAAACGCCATCCTTTGGAGTCTCGAGAGTCTCGGGTGGCTGGTGAAGCAGGGATTCGGTGCTCTGGATGGATTCGGATGACACTTTCTGTGTTTTCACTCGGTGAGAGGGCTTGGAACACGAACATACAGGAACCCAGTTCTGTTGGTGCTACTCCAGTGGTGAAGCTGGAATAAGCTGGGTCTTCCAGTTCGGTGGATTATTTCTTGAAGGGTGGGGTAAGTCGCGAGAGTGGGAGAGTTGAGGAAAGCAAACGTGCCAAAATTCATTGGATTCCTATGAACAGGAGAGTGTAGATGATCTTGGCTGTTTTCGAGTGGGTACACCGCGCTGACCACCATCCTCTAGATTGGAAAGGCTCTTCTGCTCCAGTTACAACTTGCTTGCACTCCGACCGCAGCAGGGAAAGCCAAACTCGCCACTGGGTGCACCTTCCTTCCTGTTGGGGTGGCTAGGATAAGGGTTTGTCACCAGGTTTGGAGGGATAACTCCAAGAAGGAAGAAGAGGCGAAAGCGAAGGAGGAGGCCGGCGAACCCGGGTTTGCGCGCTGTGTGAGCAATTTTGTGAAACATGTCAAGCCCACCTGTCGTTTGTCAAGCGGCTGAAAAACTGATCTTGAGGAAAGGAAGCAAAGGCTGACTCAAAAGTTTTCTCCGGCCGAGAAGTTCCTCGTGTTTCTCAAAGATGTGCTGCTGGTCTTCATAGATCTTGCAAGAGCTCCTCAGGTTCAATCAATGCTTCAAAGATCTTGACACCAGGGTTGCTGGCGTGGTGGTGGTCATGTGTGTGTTTGTTTGTTGTTTTTGCCAGGCTGCCAAGAAGAAGCCGGTGAAGAAGATGCGGGGCAAGAACAAGGTGGGAACATGACTCTGTGGAAGAAACCATGTGCAGGATTAAGGGTAAAATGGGAAGGATGTGTGGACCGAAGAACTGTTTCATACGCCAGCGGTGTCCAGCCCTTCGAGGATTTGTACCTTCTGGTTACTAGTAGCTTGATGAGAAGATCCTCAGATCAGATCGGTTGGCCAAGCAATATATATATATATATCAAAAAATAAATTCTTCTTGCAATCCACTAAAAAAGGGGAAAAAAACAACAGCAACAACAACAGCAGCAACAACAACAACAACATGAACAATGTGGAGATGTGGAGGGTGAATCAAGCTGGTTGTCATGGAAGGTGGATCTACAGTGGGTGACGTTGAGAGGTCGAGGAAGAGACTCAGCCAGAGCATGGCTTTGAACTGGGACTTGTGAACTCAAAGTCTTGCGCTTCACGCTCAACTGAGAAATCTGTCCTTGATCCAGTGACGGACTTCGCTTATGGCCCAGGGACCTCCGAGCCAGAAAATGAAACCAACTTGTGGATGAACAAGAACCCATCAAACCACTGCCCCACGTGGGGATTGCTTCTTCCGATCCTGGAAAATCCTCCCCGGCTTGAATGGGCCAATCCGAAAGCGAGTTTCGGAGGACCAAGAAGCTGCACGAGTGTCACGTGCGAAACCATCGGCCACAGGTGGGAAATCGCATGAAGCGCAAGGCCTTGAAGCAGGGCGCCGAAGGGAGGCCGAGCCCAGCGAGGGTGGGTAGGTGGAGAAGAAGCAGGGTGGAGTGGCGTGAGTTTGGTGGGAAGCTGCTTAGGGGGGTTGTCCTATTCATGAGCAGAACTCGGGAATTTAAGTGAGAGGAAGGTCTGCAAAACATCGCCCCAGCACAGACCATCGGAACAAGCAGAGGACGTGGCTCAGTTCTTGGTTGTAAGTTCTACAATGTTCTACAGTTCTACTACTGACACAAAACTTAAAACAATCAGAAACCATCTGGGAGAGCTGTCGGTGCCAAGCGTTTTCTTTATCCAGTGAATCCAGGGTGCTTGTTTCTTCGCCCTGCCAACATGGACCGAAACATAGAACACACCGAACACTTCCACCGAACTGTTCCAAAGCGGAGTGGTCGTAGGAGTTGGTGGTCGTGGGAGTCGAGTCCCGTCCTGGCCGTCCTGGCCGTTCACACGCGAGAACGGGCGTGGTGGAAGTGCGGTGTTTCAGGCAGAAAGCGCGGAACCGCCTGGCGGGGGAGAAGGCAGAGGATGCGTCGCTTTTGCGTCCAAATTGGTGTAGAAATGGAGTGACTGGGTGGGGCATCATGCTAAGTCAAGTAGGTGCAGCTTTGCAATGGAGTTTTTGTTGAACATCGGTGTCAATCATGGGACCTTTTCTTGAAGTCTCGCAGTCTCGCTCCAGTGTCAGCAGGACGAGGATGACGACGACGACGACGGGGAGGAGGAGGACGACGAGGGAGAGGAGGTGGAAGAGCAAGCTGGTGAGGGCCTCGAAGACGATTTAGAGATATTTAGTGAAGCACTCTTTGAGATACTGTATTCAGAAATGAACAGGTCGAATGGGTCCCAGCTGGGTTTCTGAAAGGAAACATGCGTTGTCCACCTCCGTTTCGGATTTGTGCCAGCCTCAAGGTGTATTAGCTTCGGGGTCTTACGGTTCAATCGAAACGAACGTTGGTCCTTGTCTTCAGAGCACTTTTTCGGGTTGGCCAAGTTGCACAGGGTCGACTGAGTTGTTTGTTTTTTTCTCATTCACTGCCTTTCGGAAAACTTCAGACCAGTGACTGCCTTTCGGAAAACTTCAGACCAGTGACTTCTGATTCTGTCAGGTTCGAAGAAGAAGAAGGACTAAGCTGTGTGCTGGGAACTGCAGAGCTTTTTTTGACGGTGATGTTTGGGACTTCCGCTCGGTGTAGCAACGAAGACGCCCAAAAATGCCCTTGACACGCTGTTGACACAATGCAGACATCTTCAGACATAGGAAGGTGCAGCAAGGTGCCAAGAGGCGTCATAGGAAGGCGTATGGTGCCTGAAGACACATGGCATGAGGCTTAGAACCTTAGAGCATGGAATGTCCGTTCTGGGAAATGTGATCTTTGTCTACCCTACCCGTGTTTGTTGTGATATGCACACAAGCAAGTGACTCCCATGTCATGAGTTGGAACCGGGTTCATCCTCTTTGAGGGATCACCCAGAATTGTCCTGAGATATGATCGATGGGGCCTATCCACGCAGACGCATCGCACTCCCAACCTGTCCGCGTACCTGTCTCCGTAGATCTTCGCACGTTGCAGGACCCACAAGTGCCTGCAGGTCATTGGCTTAAGGGAGCTGGGTACTTCATGGTACTTCAAAGAATCCCATGCTCCAAATACGAGACTCTTGCGGGACTGAGAGCTGAAGTTGCACATCTCAAAAATGCTTTGTGTTGAAGCATGACGATTTTCTCCAGGAGGCACTTCAAGCCTAAATTCAGCGTTCATTCGTGCCTGCGTATCTCTGCAAAATCAAGGTGAGTACATTTAGGTTGGGTTTGTCCCAATACCTGTAATGGTCCGTAAACAATTATCACTATTTTAGAGAAAGGCCTTTGCTGACCATTTGTGTGTGTATTTAAATATATACTGTTATACTGTATATATAATATTAGACATACATAGACACACATCATATATGTATGTAGTGATGAAGTTGTTAAGAGGGTGGGAGACTGTACGTGCACATGTTTGATTTTTTTAATCAATCTTTTATCATTGACTGGTATCGGTATCTCTAGTTGAACTACTGATGTTAGCTCCTAATACTCATTGCATCCTCTTAGTTAGCTATCCCTACATGGTGCATTCAGCTCCTTTCTGAAGTGAAGTGGCTGTATTTGTTTTTACTTGGCTCCTGAGCTGATCCAAATCAGGTGAACAAGAAACCAACAAGATATTGGAGCAAAAACACGGCCAATAGAGAATAGAAAGAGTTTGCTTTTCGAAGGGGGTTGAAGAAGTTCCACACCGCTCCGAAACTCGGGTTGCAGTTTTTGGTTCCATCCATTCGTTCGGCAGTGGCCTTTGGCGCCAAATGGCCGATTTGGTGTGCAGAAGAAGTTGACTTCAGGAAGCGCTTGAACCATTGGCACTTGCCCAAGACCCATTTCATGTACGCTCATTGAAATAGTAATGGAAGTGGAGTTCACCACCTGTTTGGTATTCGGACCATGGTTATGCTTGCGGGGGCCACCCCATGGGCCACCCCATGGGCCACCCCATCGTTCATAGCTTGACAGCATGGCTCGAACTCACCTCTATAGTTTGCCCGTTCAAATGTTCAATGACAAAAAAGGTCTGGCTGATGAGCGACCCCGCTCTTTTTCCATGGTTTGGATTGGTAACGGGCCGGTCCTAGTCTGTTTGCTTTGACGCCAGCACCCTCCAACTTGTCACTGGCAAGGCGTCTGCTGAAATTCTGCCTTGCCAGCCAACCATAGGATCACGTTCTTGAGAACCTTTTGGGCAGTGTATAAAGATATAGGAAGTGGGCCCCCAAGTAGATAGAATCGTGGATCTCCTTTCAACATGCCTTGGATGGAAGTCATTTCTGTCCATGCTTGAAACCCTTCTTTATACCATGCCACAGGAGACTTTCAGGTCATTCCTGCCCACCATCGCTTGCGCCCGCCTGCGCGCATCGCTTGCGCCGCAGCACAGCTTGAGGTGTTGGGACAGCGCTGTCCCGGTTCTACGGCAAACGCCGGCGGAAGACCTGACCACCGACGGGGCAACCTGCTGTCAAGACTGATGGATATACTATGTTAGCCCAGAGAAACTGGTCATGAAGTACCCAGCCTTCGGCTTGGCAGCACGTCGTCGCTCCCATATCGATGGTCAAGTTTCACGAAGATCGATGCACAGTTAATCAAGAGCAATCAAAGACAAATATGGATAGGTATCCAGGCGTGATGGGAATATATAGGAATATATAGGAATACAAGCCCACAAAGAGACCTCCTGGTTGGAAATGTTCATTATTTTCCCAGCACTATGTAATTAGGAATCGTTCATCTTTGGAGGAAGCTTGAACTGAAGTGATGCTTGCTTTTGATCATGCTTTCAATCAAACAAACGTTGAGATCTACACAGCTCTCGTGCAAGAGAAGCCCAGTTTAGCATAGCATCGTCACCGCAGTCTAAGCCGCACGTCCTTGCTCCACGTGCGCCAAACGCAACCAGCGCAGCAAGCCGAAGCCGAGCGCAGCGAGCGCTCCTTGCACGGAGTTTTCAGGAGCCAAAGTGAAAAGACTACCACGACGCTCATGGACCCTCATAGACGTCGGACCCATGTATGGAGAGACTTGGGGTCTCAAATCCCAGGCTTTGAAGTTCTGAAGGGACCAAATCGGCTGTTTTCACGGAGCGTCTGCGTCTGCGAGAGCGGTTGAGCCGACCGGGACGCGGGACCTTGACAGAGATACCGTGCACTGCACCACGTTTTGATCCACATGTTTTTGCGTCAAATGTGTGGACGCATCTGACATGTCAAGCAGGAGGCCAAAATATCCTTAGATGCAAACAGTCTTATATGAGTCTTAGAAGCATCAGATGGGCTGTGGCGTCTATGGACGTTGATGTATTTGCACATGCGTGTGGGCTACTTCGCTTCCGACTGGCCTTTGCTTGCAGCTGGCTCGGTAGTCATGCAATAGTGGAAGAAGTATCGTTACACCGCCCTGCATGCACAAGGTTCCAGAGCCTTGCAGTAAGAGGGTGCAGACAGAGTGCAGACAGTAAATCCACCGGCAAAGATCGTCTTTTGCCAAGCAACACTGAACATGTCGACGTGGATCATATCCACACTAAAGATACTATATTACAAATGACTTGATGTATTTTTGGGTGATGATCATCCGTTCGATCCTTTAGCCATGTTGATCTCCGCTTTTGGGGCCCTACTTAGAGGGGCAATTAGGGACACTTGCCAGTTTGCCACTTGCCACGACATGGGCGAAGCCGAGGCCGAACGGACAGGATAAGGTTTGATGAGGCCCTTAAACCACTGTAGAGACTCTACATATACCCAAGCTACTGCAAAAGGAAAAGGGTAGTTCCAGTACGATTCTACAATCATGCAGGAGGTTCTTCAACATTACCTCACTAGCCTGTTCTGTTCAGTGTTCACCTAGCATCCACAGGGTTTTTTTTGCCACCGCTGGCCTTTTCACGGACGATACTGTATCCTGTTGGTGTACCCGGCATACCCAAACCCGTGTGAAAATACCCTTCGTGGAGAAATCGTTCTTCAATCCTCTTCCGCCATCCAAACTTCCTCGCCTCTCCAGCGCGCTCTCACGCGGTGTCACGCGTTCTCCCGCAGACCCCGCGGCGCGACCGGGCGCGGCTTTCGCCGGAACGAGGGGGACGAGTCGGACTTCCACAGCCCGATGAATCTGGAAGATGCGTGGGCCGACGAAGCACAAAGGCCGATCTTGCGGCTAAAGGGGCTGACCGAACGCGGCAGGTGCAAAAATGGTTGAAGAAGGATCCTGGGACATGAGATGTTCAAATTGTTGTGAAGGATGAGATGTGCTTCATCAGGTGCTGCAGGAATTCTGCCGTCAATAGAGGGTTTCGCCCTTGTTCATGAGGGCCTATTGAAACGACAGGAAAACACAAAGAAGATTAATTGGGTTTGTATTTTGATAGGGGACATCCCAACCAGTGAATTTAGTCGTGGGCTTTGCTTGGAACCTTGCTTGTTGGGAAATCCAAGAAATAAGAACCCCAAAATATGCCAAAGTATTTGCGTTTAATGTGAAAGAGCTTGATGATGGTCCATGTTTTGTAGCAATGATTGATGTTTTAGTATTTTTGTTGAAATACGCCCAGGTGTGGGGGGAACCAGGTTTGGGCCCACAGCATGTCCAACGCCTCAGTGCTGGGCCAGGCTTCTTCGTCAGCACCGTCAAAACTGCGACTTGGAGGCTGGACTTGGAGCTTGCAATCAAAAGATCTGGTTCTTTTTGAGTCCGTTGCATTCACTTGCTTTACCTGGTTTTGCTTATGTAAGGGGATTTTGTATTTTCCCTATCATTAAATCCCCTTTGGGAAATGGTTTGTTATTGTTTCAGGTTCCTTAAGCAGATCCAAGTTTAAGCTAGAGTCGGCTAGAGTCTAGAGTGTTCCTCAAGGCTGCTGTCTCGGTACTGACAGGCCGTTCGCGCCACCCAGAAGCGAGGGCCTGAGCCGATCTCGACAGCACAAAGACGTGACTCGGGTTGATGTTCTGTAATTTAAACACTGCAAAGAACTTCGCCGTTCTCGGAACGGCTCAGTTCAGTTTGCTAGGCCTTCGACATGCTTTTTCCTCCAGATATTACCATTGGGCAACTGGCTCCATGCTCTTTGGTTTGGCAATGTTAGACCGATGGCCCCCGGCCGTTGTCAAGCAACAATGTGTTTCCCGATGTCTGACAACTCCCAAAAATCCAAAAACGGTGCCCCGGTGAGGAGTAGTGAGGGACAAGGGAATGACCAACCTCTTGAACACTGGCTTCGTTTGGCCATTGACACAGATGCTGCGTGTGTTTCAATGGCAAAGCAGATCTTCTCATCCAAATCGGTGGTCTTGAGTCACTTGAGTCTCAACCCGAACCTGGATCAGACCGAACCAAGCCCTTGAACATCTTCGCACCCAGGCCTAGACCTGTGAAGCGGCCTTTCGAAACCCTGGAGACGGCCTTTCAAGTGACCTGCCAGGTGGAGGGTTTGCGAAGGGGTTTGCGAAGGGGTTTGCCGGGCTCCGGGTGCCCAAAGGCTAGATTCATTATCCATGCAGTCCATGCACCTAAGCCAACTGCATTTCCCTTGTTTATTATAGGGGCTAGACTTCCTCAATTGATTCTCATGTGAAAGAATCTCAGCCACTTGAGCCCACTGAGCTGCTTGAGCCGGGGCAGGTCATGGTCGCATTGCTCTCGCCGCGCGTCCATCCATGGATGCGGAGATTGTCCGGAACGCAGCAAGGAGCTGCATGGGGGCGGTGTTGCGATGGAACGCGTCTCGTCCACGGGACGTGTGCGGAATGCTGTCCAAAGGTGAGTGCCACGCTGGGCCGTTCCAGAAAGAACAGAAGGACTGGAAGTTGAGATGACTCCTTTTGCATGTTTGGGCAGGTATCATCGGTATATCCTTTGCATCATAGATCATGTTTATTTATTATTGTAGATGATTGCTTACACCAAATGACCTGAAATCATCATGCATAGGTTTTCAAGTCAAGAATTGGAAGAGAGCCTCGGGTCAGAGAAGCCACATGTCGCCATCCACGAGACCGAAATGAATACCGAAGAAAGAACGAAGCTGGGAAGACCGTTGGTCCCAGCCAAAATGGTGCTCCCTACACTCGCACCTGTCAGAGGGGTTGTGCATACACCAGGACCTAGTATATCACCATATATCATTCCTGAATTACGCGGACCCTGGTATGTGGTTGATTGTGTTGCGTTGTGTTGTGTTTTTTCTTTTGTGTTTCGACATGCTCACCCATTCAGAACAAGTCTCCCCCCCATCTCCCGGGCCAGTCTCCGAGGTCTGCATGCCTTCGCATGCAGCGGACCTATCCGGAGGTGCCTGTGCATTGACAAGCCAAAGCGGTGACTGTGGAAAAGACCTGATGGCTTCTGATTGAAGGATATTGAAGGGTCGTACAAAAGCAGCTGGTTTTAACGATGGAGTGGGTCATCCGATTTACAGATATGTCAAGTGCCGTAGACTGCCGCCCGGGGAAGTAAACTCGTCCTGCGGATGAATACGCTTTGGCAAAACCCGAGCGCGTCCTGGCAAATGTGTCACTAGAAGTGCGTTCCGTGCCTCATGAGTTCTCAGGTGCTTCCAGCTCCCTCTTTGTCCGTGCTAGTCTCGGGTTTCCACGCCTGGGCCGGCTTGTTTACCGAAAGAAAACGGGGGAGCGTGAGACGATAGAAGCATGAGACGGGGTCAGACAAAAGGCCAGCTCAGCTCAGGCAAGAGAGCTCGAGAACATTTGCAAAGAAACGATTTTACTCGAATATTCCTTGAAGTCTGTTGGAAAGACGAACTGATCATGCCAAGAACCTCAGTTTCTGTGAGGCATGGATGGCACTTTGGTGGTAGAAGGTGTGTGATTTGTTCTATAGCGTGAGACCTACAATAAGTAGGAAGCCGACCTTGTCAAAAGGACTGCCGTTTGCCATTAGGGTGAACTCAGGAAGTTTCGAGGGGACCTTGCTCGTGTGGCGGTCCAACATGGTCAAACACGGTCACCTCGACTCACGGACGCCTTGCTTGGAGCTTCTCATTTCAATCCGCCCCCTCTTAGAGCCATGAGTGTTGAAGAGAGGAGGTGGGCCCTGTGGGCTTCTTCATGGTCCTTCCACCCCGACTGGATGCCGACTGGTACCAATCCAAGCAGCTTTCAACTGATCTTTCCGACACCGGGAACACCTGGTTCCGAACGCCTCGGTTCGTTCCGACGTGTTTGATTTTCGCCAGGCCAAGCTGGTGCTGGACGTTGGGGCACCCGTGATCCGACACTTCGTCGGTTGTGTCAACACGTGTCAACAGCTTGTCTTTCTGTGGACGGGTTCTTGATTGGCGGATGCCCAAGCAAACGGGTCTGTTTCTGCAGGATGAGTCCAGGATGAGCATGTTTCCGCGTGAGGATGTTCTGTAGGTTCCACATGTTTTTTTTGGCTCAAGTTCTTTGAGCTTGAAGATGGCCCTTGGGTGGGTGTCTCTCAACCTACGAGACATGGAGGACCCCCAACAACAACCCTTTGCTATCCTTGCCACTGGAAAACATAGATGCAAAGACCTTCACTAAGTTCGCACAAACGTTCAGTTTGGTCGAAGATTTCTGAGCAGAACGATCTGAGCGATGAACCAGGTCACCAGATCTGAGCATGCACAGAAGTTCTGACCTCCGAAGAGCGTAGCAGTGTGTAGCCCATGAATTCTCGATGAGTGTCCATCTCTATTGCCGGCCCCATGAGTGAAGCTCTTGAGGCCGCCTTACGTGATATTATAGGTCCCTTGGAGACTAGTCACCTGAAGGATCTCCTGCACCGTGCAGAGAATGATGTGGCCAAAGCCGTGAACTTGCATTATGACGCCAACGCCACCCCACGCAGCGCATCTGGCGCACCTGGCACATCAGCGCCCAGTGGGGGTGAGGGATCAGGGGCTCGGAAGCGGCCCTCGAGCATCCTGGACTTCTCAACCAAGCGCCCGGCCACCGGCGAAGTCGCCGGCCCTCCCGGCGCGACGACGAGCGCCGCGACGAGCAAAGGGACGACGTCGGTGGCGCCCTTGGCAGAGCGGATGAGGCCTGAGAGGTTGGAGGACTTGGTGGGACAAGAGGAAGGCTTAAGCGCTTCCTTGAGGCAAGCCGTGCAGGACTCGGATGGAGTGACAGTGACAGGAGTGTGGAGCATTTGAAGGGTCGAAGGTCCAAGTTGAAAGACCCAAAGAAAGACCCCCTAAGACCTGACCATTGGCTTTTTTCATCGTTTTCGTTTTGGGGTTGACATGCCCATACATATCCATGACGTGACATAGCCATTGACATACCTGTCAACATATCAACATGTCTGGGAACCCTACATCCTCAATTATCCTATTCTCCGTTTGATTGCATATATATATATATAGATAGATATACACTGTATGAAATAATGTGTGAATTTTGATGCCATAACTTTTTGATGCTGGGCCTGGTTCTAGCCACTTTGAAGGTAGCTACCCACCTACCAATCTAGCCACTTACCTACTTCCCTTCCCCTTACCCTCCCTGTCATGTTACTTCCCCTTACCCTCATATCACAGCATGGCGTGCCCATCATGGACATGAGTCTAAATTCATGTCACGGCATGGCATGCCTATTTCATCTATTACCTAAGAGCGATGGCCTCCAACCTAAGAGCGTTGGCCTCCAACCTAAGAACAATGGCCTCCAACCTAAAATGGTCTCACGAAAATAGAAAATGTATATTTTTTTTTCCACGGCTCTTTTCCGTGCTACAAGGTGCTCACGAGAACATCCTTCTCAGATCCTGTGATCTGGAGGGGCAGGCTTCCTTCAGCCGGCGGTTCAAGAGGACTTTGTCCCCAGCGATGCGGTTGCGAGCGCCGCACCGTGAGCACTCGGCGAAGCTGCCTTGCCTCTGCATGGTGTGAGTGCCATGTCCATCCCACATCGAGGGCGGGAGTGGCCCGCTGTTGCAGACTTGCCCAACGAACTCCTCGAAGATGTGCTCATTGGACCTTGCTAAAATGTAGCTTTTGCAAAGGTCACAGCGTAAGTACGCTTTGTCTAAGCGCAAGAAGTGCACTCCTGTCTGTGGCTTGTCTTGGCTTTCAATGAGCTGCTTGATCACCTCCATGCGGGGAGTCTTGGTGATCTTCTGTTGGAGAGGACTTTGACACTCTGAGCTCATGGTGGCCTTGATCTCCTGGATCATACTCTTGGAGTGGATCCTGGTTTTGCATCGTGTGCAGATGGCTCCGGATCGATGGACCTCCCATTGATGCCCTCCTCGGTCAGGCTCTTTGAGGAGAGCCGCAATGAGCTCCTTCTTCTGCTGGAGTAGTGGAGTTCTGACCTCCTGCGAGATTTGAGTGGGCTTCCTCAGGAAATGGTCCTGATCTCTGAGGATGTGATCGACCCTCTCAGCGGCAATTGACAAAATGTCAGCAAGGTCTTCATCGATGGCCTTCTGGTAGGAGAGGAAATCTTTTGGAGCTTCAGCTTTGGCCCTCTCTTGTGCAATGCGTTTGATGGACTTCTGAAGTTGCTTCCTGGTCTTCATACCCTCCTCCTGCTGGAGATGAGAGAGGAAAAGCAAAGGTCTGACTTGATCGAAATCCTCAAACTCAAGACCGTAGTAAAGATCTGGGAAGCGTTCCATGGCCATATGTGGTGTCCATGCTTTCCAGACTTGCAGGTTGGAAATACCGACATGAGTGGAGTCCAGAAGGTGCATCGACAATTGCTTCAGGGCAAAGAAGGTAGCCCTTGTTCTGGAGGCCTCACCCGGACAGATGCCAGTGATGGATGCAATGCACTCTTTGGTGGCAATCTCAAAGATACCAACAGCAAAGATGTATTGCTGGTGGCGAACATCCGCACATGTGGCCGCAATGTCCAGGCAGCAAGCGTGACCATGATCGATGTGGCACGGTTGCAAGTCATGCCATTTGCCAGTGCCGATGAAGGTGGATGGTCCTCCATGTCGTTCTCGGAAGGGCAATTGGGCCAGACCTCGGTGCCATACTTCCGGCTCGATGTTCTGGCTTATGCGATCTTTCCACTCGTCTGGAATGTCTTTGACCCGCCCTTGCCAATAGGAACATTCCCAAATGAGATGCACAGTGGTGATCTCGACGGCGCAGAGAGGGCATTGTCCCTTGAAGCCATGCAATGTGCCCTGGTGGAAGGCCCTCAAAGCACAAGCCAGGCGATCCGCTGCAGCTTCAGACTCATGGTCCAATCCAATGGTTGCTCCAGGTGTTCACAACCACTGTACTTGGTCAACCTGATGAGGCGTTGCCACTTAAACTCCTGTTGCAGCTTCATGGCCAGCTCCGGCCACAGCAGCTCTATAGACAGAGTGCAATCTGGGATCGCCCCGTAACCAGCTCTGTGCCATTGATGTCCATCCTGAAGGTCAAACCCCATGTCCAACAGATAGGCCTGAAGGGCTTGAAGAGGTCCGGTGACTACCTGCCAGGGATACCTGGCCTTGTTCAGCGGTGCCAAAGCCAGATTCCAGCTGGAGTTGAACAAGTGCTTCTTGCTGTCATCAAAACTGTGGTACAACTTCCAAATGGTGTGAATGTGTTGGAGGATGATGACGTCACCTGGGTCAGGGTGCTTCTTGTTCATGTCATAGACAATGTCGACAGAGCCTGACTTCTGAAGTTTGAGCCCTCTGGCAGCCATCGCCCGAAGTTGGTGCCTGCGTTGTGGTGCCAGTCCGTTGGCCTGAGCGTGTATCGCCCCACGGTGCAACCTGTACCTCACTGCTGTGTTCAACTTGAGGCGATGCATGATGCCTGCACGACCTCTTCCTTTGGTGAAGCGTTTCTTGACCTGTGGCACTCTTCTTCTCTTGGCAGCCGTGGCGTCGATGCCCAAGTCACGAAAGACGTCATAGAGCTCAGGATCTCCAGGCTGGAGAATTGCTTTCAGGGCCAGAGCGGTCTCTTTGGAGCTCGTGAGGAACCCTGTCTTGTCCGTATTGAGCTTGAGGCCTGCTTCAGTAAGGGCTGCATGAAGGCACCGATAGGACTGCAGAGCTTCCTGGGCCACATAAATGGGGTCCTTGCCACGAACATCAAAGGATACATCATCCACCCAAGTCTGGAGAAGCGCTGCCGGATGTTGCCTCTGAAGCGCGAGAAGCGGCTTGTAGAGCACCAGCTTGGCGATGGCAGGCGCTTGAGGGCAGCCTTGGAGAATGCCCTTGCGGTAATGCTGCGGGTCAGTGGCGATGCCCTCAGCTTGGATGACCCGTGGGCCCCGGTAAAGATCGATGGCCAACTTCAGATGGAGGAGCGGGTACTCAAGCTCCCTGGCCGGCTGGATGAGCTTGTCGAGATCCACAGTATCGTAAAAGCAACTGAGGTCAGCCAAGCAAGTGACAGTGTGGATGTCATTGCTTTTGCACAGCTCAGATTGGAGCATTCTTCCAACTGCAATGGATAAACAGTCTTTCTTGGGTCTTGCATGATCCCAGGGCATGGCCGTATCCAGAGACAGCTGCCACCGGACAATGTCTTGCTTCCGGATTCGGTTCCAAAGCCGGTAGAGGCAGGAGGTCAACGCAATGGGCCTTTCGACTTTGAGGCTTTTGGGAATCATGACGATGTTGACCATTCGTAGTTGTGTGGGAAGAAGTGCCTCTTGCTCCATCTGATTGAGCAAGTTTGCCAGCTGCGCAATGGCTTGAGGAAATCATAGGAGATTCCATCCGGTCCCGAGGCCTTGTGTGGAAGTTTCTTGATCACCCTCTGAAGGCTGAGCAGATTGATGGGTTGCATGGTGCGGGCCTGTTCAATGGCATCCTCCCTCAACTCCCGGAAACCTTGAATGTGACAAGGTTCGTCCACAGGAATCCAAATGGCGCCCCACTGTGACTGGCGGGCTTGAAGTCGTTCTTGCAATGGTAGATCCTGGAAAGGTCGCTGCCAAGGGATGTCCTTTTGTCTAAGGCTGCGGAAGAGGCCTCTGAGCCCCTTGGAGTGAGCTTGAGAAAGCCATGTCTTGTACTCATCCGTGTTGGCAAGGGCCAAGCCGATGCGAGCTTGATGTTCTTGAACCATGACGAGATCCTGAAGCTTTTGGGGATCTTGATGGGTGTTGTCCATCCATTGCAGAAGGGCCGTGCAAAAACCGTCTTGGTCCAACTCATCAGAAGCATGTTCAGCAATGTTGGGGATCATGTTAAGAAGATCCTGTCGAACACCTGCATGATCATTGTGGTGTAAGACGCTGATGCGCACCGCAAGC